ACATTGAAATGATCACAACTCATTGTAGTGAACAAAATAACTTAAGTTGGGCTCTATATCCACAGGTTTCGAGTCCATCAACTTATAATTCACTTAATAAATGCYGTCCTATCACATTGRAAGCAAGCTATACCCCATCATCTGTGAAGAGAGGCAAGCACAAGGAAGAATGAGATGCCTTATACCAGTGGAAGCCTTACTAACAATCACAATCTTATCATTATCAATTTATAATCAAATAGCTTAGTTAATATTTCCCGGAAAACCAAAGATTTCTCCAATCTCCATATGTAAATACCTCTACATAGTTTCTGAAAAACTTTTGCCATTAGTGAAGAAGAGCCATAAATAGGGTTTCAGAATAAGGAAGCCATTAAGGATTCATTCTTCAATTACAACAGAAGGGTGCAGCTTATAAATTCCCAAAGAGTAATAGTCCATGATTGCGAAGTACTGGAAGCACACATTAACAAAAGAAAAAATGAAAAAAAAAAAAACATCAATATGGATTAAAGGACCGTAATCAAATGGTAAAGTAAAATAGACAGAGATAGTTAGGGTATATCTAACTACTGTCTGAATGAAGAAGATGTCTAATCGAAATGTGGGTGAGATTAAGAAACTGTCTGCACAGGGTACCTATCAATGCAATCTTCCCAGGGATCCTTGGGAGAAGGCTTTACATGCCGAAGAGCTTCCCAGACAGCACTGTTACACTTGAAACCACTTCCGAATGCAATCTGCCACACACGGTGGCCCTTGCGCATCCTCCCCTTGGCCTCTGTGTAGGCCAACTCATACCAAATGGAGCTTGACGATGTATTGCCGAAATGGTGGAGGGACATCCGAGAAGCCTCAACATGTACCGGCATCAGCTGTAGGTTCTTCTCCAGTTCATCAATCACAGCCCTTCCTCCGGCATGTATGCAGAAATGATCGAAAGCCAGCTTGAAGTCCGAAATGTATGGCTTCACCTTTGCATTGAACAGCTTCTTCGCCACAGGAGTTGCAAAGAAGAGAAGTTGCTCACTAATTGGGAGGACAAGAGGACCGAGGGTAGTAATGTTGGTATTCAGAGCTCCTCCAGCAATTGCCCAGAAATTTTCTTAGCTTTTTCTTTTCTCACCGGGTGTGACTCCGCTCACTCAATTTTGGGATCCCGCATCCCTCTTCTTTCTCATCCCAAAACATCGTAAACAAACACAAGATAGGAAGAATAATTCGGGAATATTTCCTTTTTTTCATTCTTTTCTCAGCGGTCAAACAGACCCTTAGGTTCATCCATTAGTATTATGTCAGTTAAACTTTATATAATGTCAAAAATACCTTTTTGGTATATTTTTGAGATCATTCCCAGGTAATCAAGCATCTCCTCAAGATGACATTCTCACATGTGCAACAAATAATATATTCAAATTTTTTGACGATAATATCCTCTAGTGATGATTTTACTCTGTAGTATGATTTCAAAAATACATGATAATGGTATTTTTGACATTATGTAATGTTTAATTGATGGAATACTAACGGATGGACCCAAGTGTCTATTTTTGAAAGTTCAAGGTACTTAAGTGTTGCAATTGAAAATTTAAGATACCTATTTGTAATTTACAATTTTCTTATTTGCATTTTTTTAATTATTATTAAGTGGATAAAGAGTGATATCTCACATTAAAGATCTCAGTGTGCCCCATAGGCACCACACAACACATCCAATGGGAACATGGCACAATGACAAATATGAGAGATGTTCCCAATGCATGCTCAAATGTGTATGCGGGGCGCCCGTGGGACATTCTATGTGGGGCACAGATGTGAATTCCTTATATGATGTGAAATTGTGAATTAAATCCTAAAATAACACAGAGACTTATCTAGGACTAGGAGAAATACTGGGTGGAGCCCCGTTTTAAGATCAAAACAAAGAGTTCAAATCTGTGTCCCACAAGGGGACGCCCCACAACATCCCACAGTACATCTTCGCCCTGTTTTATGAACATCTCTAGATGATAGTATCAGTCTCAATGAAGTCATCATTGAGAGATGTTCCCAATACACAGCGGTGATGTGTTGTGGGGCACAGATGTGAACTCCAAAACAAACTGGGTGTGTCCAAGTTTACCTGCAAAACCAATCAATGAACTGAGTGTTTATACATAGTATCTAAAATAAGAGAATGGGGCAGAACCCCCGTTTTAATGTCCAAAAGAAACACGGAGCTAGCCTATTTATGTCCAAAATAAACAATGAAAGCAGGGACTCTAACTCACCTTACTCTACCTGTTACAGAACATGAACCAAGTCTCCTGTTTAGATACTGGAAACCAAAATAAAGAAAAAAAAAAAGAGTACTGGATGATAGTTTGAGAGAATGGGGCAAAGCCCCTGTTTTGAGTTGAAAACAAATATTTGGAATAAGATTTGGTAAATTAGAAAAATAATAAATAGAGAAAGAAGAAAGAGCTGAGAGAGGGAAGAACGGTTTTTATAAGTAACAAAAGACTTTTTGACAGGTTTTCTAAGCATTGCAAAAAGTTTCTCAAGGAAGTAGGATCCTTATGGATTGGTTTCCAAATAGAATACGCATAGGATGGTTTGATTTTCAAATAAAATAGTTAATTGTCGTGAGACTTCTCTTGCCACATAGCCTACTGAGAGGCCTGGGTAGGTCAATGGAGCGAGCATTCAAGATAAAAACAACAAAGGGGAATGGAAGAAGAACTGGGCGGCACCGGGCACTTGAAGGGATATTTGTACAACAACGAATACACTACGACATAAAAAGAATGTTAACTTCAATCCCCTTATAACACGTATTTTACTTTTGCTACTGCCTGATTACAAAAAGATGTTAACAGAGTGGATAGGATGTTAGGTCATGTTTGGTTTGAAGGAAAATGTAGGGAAAGGAAAAGAAAGGTTGAGAAATCTTTAAAAATTTTGTATTGATTTCCTGTCTTTCTCTTTTCTCTCCCTTTTCCCACCTTTTCCTTCAAAGCAAACATAATATCAGACAAGGGAGATGGCTCAAAACTTTTTCCACAAGTACAAGATTTTCTTTCATACAGATTGGGGCCGTTAATTTTTTCTATGGAGATGGAAATGGTTTTGTAGTGTGGGGATAAGATCTCAAGGAGCCAAAATCTCCCAATAAATTTAATATACATATATGAGAGATATTCCTGATGTGTAGTTGCACTTCGTGCTCTCAAAGTATTTGATTTTAGGAGATCCAAGCTCTTTACAATGTTTACTTTATCATATTTCATGGATTATCATCATCATTACCCAAGCCTTATCTCAACTATATGGGTTATTTGCTACATACATTAATCATTTATATTTAATTTTGCCCGTCTATACTCTATATCTAAAAATCCACACAATTAACAACAGCTAACCATTCAAATAAGTTTTACAGTTCTCATTGTCATCATCATCATCCAAACCTTATCCCAGCTATATTGGGTCCGCTACATCATCATCATTATCATCACGTGGGATTCTGATTGCCTAAAGTATTTCATATACTATAGATTGAAAAGATATAGATTATATTTAGTGTATGTTTGGTTCTATGGGAGTTTATTGAGAGGCATTTTTTTAGATAAATATTTATCTAAAACGCTACTTTAAACATTTTTTTTTTCTTTTTCTATTTGGTTGAACGTTTTATTGGTGTTTCAAGTAACACCCCATAAAGCTGCTTTCCACCTCAGATAAAGTGCACTACATCAGCATTTCATTTCAAGAAAGGCCCAAGCATTAGGGGAAACATGAATTTGACGTTTTCCCAAATATCCCATGCACATAAATCAAAGTGTTTCAAATTTCTAGTGTTTATTTGATAAACAGTGAAACCAAACAACCGTTTCATATGCAATACACACCAATACCTATGTGGCGCTGATGTAATGACATTTTTTCAATAATTGCCCATAGAACCAAACATATACTTAGTGTTTATCAACTTTAATTGTAGTTAATAAAACATTGACGAAGGATGTCATTTGAGGTGTGGAACTGTTTATGGGGGAATTAAGTGCAATAAAGAAATATATTGTGACCGGCCAGCCTTGTTTCATCCAATGTTTCATAGGCCTTCTCCCCATGCTTCCTCTTCTTTATATCCCTTCTCTCTTCTTCCACCCTTGCTTCTTTCTCTCCCTCTTCCTCCTCCTTTCTATTGCCACTGCCGCTGCTAATACCATCAGCCTCTCCTTTCTTCTTTAATAGTAATAATGGAAGTCAAACAGACGTAAAAAATAGGTGATTTCAATTCTGATTGTTGAAAATTTTGATTCCGATTTCAATTTTGATCATAGACATGAACCTAAGACTCTAAAAAGAGCTTTTCCTAGAGTTTCATTCAAAATTCATGTTATATTTTTTGCTCAGAAAAGAGTAAAATTCTTGTTAATTTGCGTGCATTACACGGTTAGTTTGTTTATCAGTCAGGTATAAAGTAGATATACTTTGGGACTTTGACAACAATAAATAATAAAATATATAAGAGAATGCAAGGGTAAGCCTTATCTACTAGTATATAGTCAATAAAAAAAATGACCTTTCATGTTTATGGAGAGACTTTTCTTCTTGTCAAATATTTATGTGAAACCTACCAAAATTTATGTGCAAAGTGACATGCCTATTAACTTTCCTTGGTCAGGGGATTGATAGGATGAAGTGAAGCTGATCCTAATTAAGATCCTCTCCTACCTGAACTCCCAACTCTCAACACTACCTACCCTCTGTTTTTTCCCCTGACATACACACTACCATCAGTATTTGGGCATGCGGGGCCCATCATCGTTAGATGGGATAAAGGTCTCAAGGCTGAGATCATTCCTATCGCCACCTGTAGTTTCATGTTAGGTTAGTCTTACTGCCTTAGCCGGCCCTAGTTGAATTAATGGTCCATCAATTCAATTCACCATGATAAAACTTGGATCAATTCCTATTTATATGGCGCTCTACTTCTAATGGAGGTGAACATATTACACCATGAGTAAGTGTTTGATCAATATCATAGTGGTTCTCTCGTCTTTGACCTCCCTGTCGGGAGTTTTGGCAGAGCAATGTGGACGGCAAGCTGGGGGAGCTCTATGCCCCGGCGGGCTTTGCTGTAGCCAGTATGGCTGGTGTGGCAACACCGGTGATTACTGTGGGGAGGGTTGTCAAAGCCAATGCAGTGGCGGTGGCGACATCACCTCTCTCATCAGTAGCTCTCTGTTCGATGAAATCCTGAAACATCGAAACGATGGGGCTTGCCCCGCCAGAGGATTCTACACCTACAACGCTTTCATAGCCGCTGCGCGATCCTTTAGCGGCTTCGCGACAACAGGTGACACCACCACTCGCAAAAGGGAGATAGCAGCTTTCTTGGCTCAGACCTCTCATGAAACCACAGGTGGGTTAACGTTGTTGCTCCAGATCGAATCCATACTTATTGGTAATTAAAAACAGTGATTCATTATTTGATTTGTTGATAAAAAAAAAAATCAAAATCAAAATCAAATGTGTACAGGAGGATGGGCAACTGCACCAGATGGCCCTTATGCCTGGGGCTACTGCTTCGTAAGAGAACAAGGCAATCCCGGGGATTACTGCAGCCCTTCTCCACAGTGGCCATGTGCTTCCGGCAGGAAATATTACGGCCGAGGACCCATTCAAATCTCATAGTAAGACTCTCTCTCTCTCTAGATCTCTCTCTGCAAATAATGGAATAAAGAGATCGAAAGTAAATGTGTTGAACATACATTATTGACTGGTGCGGTGCAGCAACTACAATTACGGGCCAGCAGGAAGAGCCATAGGAGTGGACCTCCTGAACAACCCTGATCTGGTGGCCACTGATCCGACCATTTCATTCAAAACAGCCATCTGGTTCTGGATGACCCCTCAATCCCCCAAACCATCATGCCACGATGTGATAACCGGACAATGGACGCCAAGCGCTGCCGATTTGGCTGCCGGACGAGCCCCGGGCTATGGCGTCATTACCAACATCATCAACGGAGGAATTGAATGCGGCAAAGGTTACATCCCACAAGTTGCTGACCGCATTGGCTTCTACAAGAGGTACTGCGACATTTTAGGGGTGAGCTACGGTGATAACCTCGACTGCTATAACCAGAAGCCTTTCGGCCAGTCTGCTGATCATCTTGTCTCTACAGCTTAACTATAAAATCTTTTGGGCTTTTTCTATATATGTAATATGTTATATGTATTCTGTTGCTGTCTGTGTTCTGTTTTGTGGGATGTTGTTATTGGTGTCTTGTGTTCCGTTTTCTCTATCATAAGAAAAAATTAAAGTAACATGTAATGCCCATGCTTTAATTAAATACAACAAAGATTCATGAACAGCCATCATCATCTTACCTAACCCTTGTCGCAACAATGATGTTTGTAGGCTACATGAATCCTATTTCACAATTAGGTTCTGTTTCAGTGCCCTGTTTTTGAAGTTCCTACATCACAAAGCATTATTCTTCTGATTGCTTCATCAAAAAGGTTCAAGAAATAGATACCACGTATTGTATCCTTAAGCTTGGATAGAGATGTACTGTGATCTGTGATACTTACAAACACATTAATATTACTAAATTCACAGTTGAAAAAAAAAATATATATATAAACAAGGTATAAATACATAATAAATGTGTATTTTAATAGTTTCTATGAAAAAAAAATTTAATTAATGTCAATATATACATAGATATATTATACAATTTTAGTGATAATTTATCAATCAAGAGTCGGAAAACATATTATATAACTCTTTATCAATTTCTACACTCATGAACCCATTAATATATTATTATTTTATTTATATTAAATGACTAATAAATAATTACTTAAGTATATAATTAATAAAATATTAAATAGGTTCATGGGAATGTAGAAAATCCAAGACACAAATCATATGCAACTATTAAATCTTGATTGCTAAATCAATTGTTCTCCATTCTATTACTCTTGCCAACTCAATCTTAAATTCTTAAATATTTTGTAAATAATATTTTATTTTGTACAAATAATCAATATTCTATTATTTATTGTAAATTAAAATATTAATTATTAATTTATAGATGCATTAGAATTTCTAAGATGCACATATATGAAAGTTCTTAAATTTTAATTACTAAAATAATTATTCTGTTTTTACTATTTTGATAAATAATTCATTTCATTAATATTTATAAAATATTGATATTAATATTCATTTTTATTCTTTACTTGAAAAATTCATATATTTAATGGTCATTCATTTACATGACAATTTATATATTAAGAGATAAACCCAAATGACTCAAACTCTACTATCCTAAACCAAAACACTAATCTTATCTCAACTCAATCACTTTCAATCTAAATTTTATCTCATACATCATAATATTCCCTAACAAAAATAACTCTTGAGAACACGCCCAGCGCCCCAGCCCATGGATAAGAACACATTGGCCCAGACACTGGCCTAGGCATACCCGTTAAAGCCTAGAGACTACAGGGTGGACGCAAGTGACCTGATGCCAAGAGTAAAGGGACGTTAACAACTGAATTGACTGAATGAATTAGTCATTGAGGATATTATAAACTCCTTAATAGCTGAAATTGAATAGTTGGCCTGATTATTATACACTTCAAATAAAACACTAAGTCATTCAGTTCAGCCACTTGGCCGCCTGTTATCAAATAATCCCTAACATGTGCTCTCCATTAAGCTGGCATTTAGTAGCATACCAAGGAAACGCTTGTGGTTCGATCAAGGTTTAAAAAACATCGTTGACCCAGACACTTGAACCATTTAACCCAGAAACTGTTCATAAATTCGGCTCCGTTTAACTGTTTAAGTCCCAACCTGCTACTTATCGTCAACCCAGATTATTGAACCATCCAATCGTTGGTGACTGTTCGGATTCCTGTCAACGTAAAAATAGAAGAAACAAACCGGACACTTGTGGACAGCGAGGAATCATCTTCTATCCTCTCTAACTTCTTCTTCATCATTTAATCTACGGATTAGCAGCTCTGACAATCCTTGTATTATTTCAAAAGGCAATTTTACCCTTGAATTAAAGAAAATGCCAATTTAAACCTTAAACTTACGAAAAAAAGCCAGTCGTAAGCAATGACGCCCAATGTTAGAAATACGTTTTCAATCCATTAAATAATGAATAAAATAATAGAAAATGATGATAGATATTATTAAATTAAAAAAATTATAAACGAGTCTCACTAAATAAAATAAAATTATTTAATATAAAATTAATAAATATTGAAAATAATATATAAATAGGTCGCATTGAAATTATTGGTGGATTCCAATTGAAATTTCCTCTTTTTAAAAAAAAAGAATTGATGGGGCCACTTAAAATACTTCGCTCCAAGCTCAGACTCTACTATTCAAGAAATCTCTAATTTGTCAAGGTAAGAAAAAGACACTCTTTTTGGACTACCAAATCATTTCTCCATATCCAAAAATCTTTTCTCGACTACATTGTTACAGGGTTGTTCTTGTGTTCCTTCTTGTATCTCCTGTTTAGGTGAAGAACTTGTGTTCCTTCTTGTTACAGGGTTGTCAAGGTAAGAAAAAGACACTCTTGTATCTCCTGTTTAGGTGAAGAGCTTATGTTGTAGGTAGTTGTTTGATACTTTGATGGTAAGTTGATGGTTATTGTTCGTGGAGTAATCCTTGTGCAGCAGAAACAAAATTAGAAGATAGTCATTTTGGGAACTAATGAGGGGTAATTTGGTCTTCCAATAATATGATGACACGTGGCATTGCAGAACAGTAGAATGACACCTCAGCACCACGTAAGCAAATTTTAGAAGCACTTCGAACACTTCACAACTGCATCAGTGACCTCAATACCACCTCGATAGGCCGAACTACAAACACCTAAGCAAGACCTCAGGTCAGCATAAGAGGCAATCTACTTCCACCGATCTGACCTATTTCTAGTTAGCGACTTGCCTGATGTGCCAAGCGACCTCCCCCTTAAGCGGGTTATCGCCTCCGAATTCCCCGAGATCACAACGCCACGTAGGAAGAACTAGTTTTCACCTCACCCGCTTTCAAGCGGGATTGGATAGAAATTACCTGCTTAGATGGAGGCCACTTGTAGGCATGAAACCACCTTTGAACCAGACGGGTTGGAGATCCCAGACGCATTTCGTGAGGTTCATGACAACTCGCCTATATAAGGGCCTCACCTCCAACCTCATAAGGTACACACAAATTAGCACTCAAGCTCTCTAGCTCTCAAAAAACTTTAGTTCGCTAACTTAAGCATCAGAGTACCCACACCAGGTAAAGTAGCCCGAGTACTCTGATCCTCTCTCTTTCTTTATAGCTCAAACAAGCAACATACATAGTCCGACGTTTGAGCTGTCCTCCAACAGAGAGCTTCTAGATCATACACCACCAAGAACATTTTAGGTTGAACTGTTTGACCTGGATGGTTGAACCACCGACTGGGGAATTGGGAGTTGCCATAATTTCATTTCCTGGTCCATTTAAAACTTTGGGTTAAATCACATGAATGTTTTTGAATGCTAATAAAGTCGAATAACTAGAGTGATAAACTAACTTAATAGAAAATTAAAGCCTGAAATTCAAGTTTTTGTATAATGTTGGTATCATTATGCTGGGCTTGTGTAGGCCAACAATCACATAAGCCCAGTCTAATATATAAATCTATAATATTATTAAAAGTATGAATAAGAGTGTGGAACTTTTGTTTGACTAAAATATCCCAATTTTTGAATTTGCTCCCTCTCTAATTATAGGGCCAAAAATGTAATTTGAACAACCACTTTTCCCCATTCAAATACCTCTCATTAAGTCTTATATTTAAGGTATTAACTCCCATTAATATTTATTGAATCCTATTCTTAACTAGAATAACCCGTCTTTTTGAATTTGGTCCCTCTCTAATTCTATGGTCACAAAATGTTATTTGAATTACTACATTTCTCATCAGTCAATTCCCTCTCATTAAGTCTTATATTTAGGGTGTTAACTCCCATTTTTTTATTGAATCCTATATTAATTAACCATACCAAATTTACAACCAACAAAAAAATGGAGTTGCTTTCCTATTTGGTCATGAGTTAAGAAAATGTGTCAACCCTTGATGTCATAGTTAAATAATAATAGAAATTAAAAACATGAAAACACAAAAAAAATATATAAAAAATACAAAAGATGTATATAACATTTGGGAACTTCTAAAATATCATATATTCATCATATTAAGGAAAAATAAGTGTGGAAAATAAGAAAAATTTTTGTAAAGATAGAAATATAAAAAAACTATAGAAAAATTTGGAAAACATATTATTTACTATCATCATTAATTAGGGCTGCAACTTACGTAGGTCCAACCCAAGCTCGACCTATCCCGACCTCAATTTTTGCATGGTGTGGGCTTGAGTTTTTAGGCTACGGGCTGGGCATGGACCAGAAAACTCAGGCATGAACTAAAACTAGGTTGGGCTTGGGTTGGTAGCCTAAGCTCGAGCCAGATCCAAGCCCAACCCTAAACGAACTTGAGCCTGCCCAAAAGAATACTTACATACATACATATATGTGTGTGTATGCATATGAGTGCATGTTAGTATATGTATAAAGTATGTAAACATACTTTTGTAAATAAAATTTGTACATATTTTCAATTAATCTACTCTTAAATTGGGTCATAAAGCCTATTAAAAGATGATACATAAAAATATGTATATAAATTATTTCAAATCCATGGTTTTTAAAACCGACCCGGTGACCAAATCGGTCAGGGGTTCGGTTACCAGGTCGAATGGGCCGAGGGTTCAATGGTCCGACCATTCGAACCGAATGCTTGGCCCATTCAGACAAAAAATAAAAAAAAAATCAATAAAAATAAAATGGTCAAAACCGTTCGAATGGTTAACTGCCTGGTTCAGAAGTTCGCTAACCAAAATCAATGGTTTTGGGGAAAAATCCGGTTTTTGGGGAAAACAGTGACCGATTCCCGGTTTTTCCGGTCCAATCCAGTTTTAAAAACCATGTTCAAATCTATTGACTAATCCAACCCAGCCCAACCCGATCCCAAGGCCAACCTGAATTGCGTTGGGTTAAACTTGGATTCGGCCTGGGTTGATAAACTTAAGCTTAACCTCAGCTTGGGCTAGGTCTGAGCCCGAGATTTGCACCTTTGGGGTTGAGTCTGAGTTTACCTTCAACTCGACCCAACCCACCCGAGTTGCACTCCCAATCATCAACATCATAAAAAAATTTCACGTGCTTACAGATGATTAAAATTACAAAAAAAAAAGAAAAAAAGAAAAGAAAATAGGGCAACCGAAGTATGGTTCCTGATTTAATTGAT